GTTGGGACCCATCACAAGTCACACATAGTAATGTCCTAGGTGGGAGCCATCACAAGATATGTCCTGGGACCCATCACAAGTCACACATAGTAATGTCCTAGGTGGTGGATATGTTGGGACCCATCACAAGTCACACATAGTAATGTCCTAGGTGGTGGATATGCTGGGACCCATCACAAGTCACACATAGTAATGTCCTAGGTGGTGGATATGCTGGGACCCATCACAAGTCACACATAGTAATGTCCTAGGTGGTGGATATGTTGGGACCCATCACAAGTCACACATAGTAATGTCCTAGGTGGTGGATATGTTGGGAGCCATCACAAGTCACACATAGTAATGTCCTAGGTGGTGGATATGCTGGGACCCATCACAAGTCACACATAGTAATGTCCTAGGTGGTGGATATGTTGGGACCCATCACAAGTCACACATAGTAATGTCCTAGGTGGTGGATATGTTCACAAGTCACACATAGTACCCTATGGTGGATATGTTGGGACCCATCGAAAGTCACACATAGTAATGCTTTAGGTGGTGGATATGCTGGGCACCATCACTAGTCACACAGAGTAATGTCCTAGGTGGTGGATATGCTGGGACCCATCACTAGTCACACAGAGTAATGTCCTAGGTGGTGGATATGCAAAAGATGGTAAAGAAAGCATACCAGCGCAACGTCGTTCCTGGTAACGTTTGTGTCATAACCGTACTACCAGCCTGACATATAGCATGAGTGTATGTCAAAGTGTAAAACATTGACCGTTCAGATGGATGTAGACCTCATATCAATATGAATAAAAGTGACAACGGTTACCTTTCTTACCCATTAGAAGCGGGAATAAAATGTCACCATGGCCTGCGTTCAATTGATAAATCTTTAATATATGAGGATTAGGGGTAAACGTAACGTTCACGATTATAGAATTCACACTGCCCCACGCAAAATATAATACATGAAAATAAGGTACTGTCATTGCCGGGATAAAACAAGGACTGCTCGGTTTCGAGTCAGTTTTCTGTGTCGAAGTGGGGTGTAAGTGTTACAACTAACCCATGATATCTAAGTTGTCTCTTTTTCCTGATGAAGTCACGCGCTAACTGTTATAGAAAGTAATTAGTTCTGAGTATCTGTTCTAAAACCATTTAAAAAATTATTTTTAGGGGGTTCGAATCCTGAAAATCCATTGATGTCACATTGGCTCTGTTCGTTGTTGTCGCTGATATCATAGATTGGCCATGGTGTAAGGGATGACCTGTCCGGTAACTCCAACATACAGACCCAACGACGATGACAAGGAGAAGAAAAAGAAGAAGATGAACAACAACAACAACAGCAACAACAACAAGCAACAACAACAACAACAGCAACAACAATAGCAACAACAGCAACAACAGCAACAACTACAACAACAGCAACAGCAACACCTACAACAACAGCAACAACAATAGAAACAACAGCAACAACAACAACAGCAACAACAACTACAACAACAGCAGCAACAACAACAACAACAACAACAACAACAACAACAACAAGCAACAACAACAACAACAACAACAACCAACAACAACAACAACAACAGCAACAACAACAACAGCAACAACAACAACAACAACAGCAACAACAAACAACAACAAAAGCAACAGCAACAACAACAGCAACAGCAACAGCAACAACAACAGCAACAACAACAACAGCAACAACAACAGCAACAACAACAAATACAATATCCGTCGCATATCAGGTGAACAAGAATGGAATGGCTTCTGACCTTGTTTGTTTGTTGATTAACGCCACACTCGGCAATATCCCAGTTATTGAGTCTGATCCAGACCATCCACTGATCAGCAGCATGGGCATCGATCTACGCAATTGGGATACGATGACATGTCAAGTGCGCAAACCTAACCACCCAACCCCTTAGTCGCCTCTTACGACAAGCGTAGGTCGCTGAGAACCAACTCTAACCCGGATCTTCACGGGTTCTTCTAAGGTTCTAATCGACGTGCAGGAATCTCAAATATTGTTGACCCGGAATGACCTCCACCAGATTAGATCTGCACCTCACCTGTTTCAGCAGGCAATAATCATCGTTTATTGTTCAGCTCGAAGCCCTTCTGAGTTTTCTGCTTTAAGTGCTGAGTACTAAAATACATTTATGAAGATATTTACGGATTTTATGGCCGCAGTTCAGACTATTGATTCTTGGGTGTCTGGAACAAGATAATCTGTTTTGACGGAAACTGGAAAGACATACATACATCAACAACGGTATTGTCAAGGTTACAATCCAGGCTGCCTTAGTGGGAAATAAGTATGTCATTATCTCTAGATTTATAAATATCAGAGGCGAAGATTAACAAATTTCCAAGAGGCTGGAATTTCATGCAACTGTAACCTGGCAATAAGTGTGGTACAACTGGACGCCATCTTTATTCGTTTCGTCTAAAGGTTGGTTCTATTGTCACAATCAACCAACGTGAAAGGATGAAGCTATTCCCGTGAGACTCCAACCTGGCCGTGGTGGTTAAATGCACATGGAGTCAGATTGTTGGAGGCGTTTCTCCTTCATGTAATAATTGTAGCGACACAGCAGTCATACAGACCCGGTCATAACAGCATTAGGAAGAATCTGAGAAGTGCACTGCTTGAGGACGCTAAATAAAACATCACACAAGAACTCTTCCAAGCTAAACATTATCAATGGTTCATTTCAGTGGCCGCTTATAGATTTTGTGTCTCCATCGGGAAACATGAAACATTAGATTGTCTCGTATGTCTTCTGAAAAAACATTTGCATCGACGTTCAAACAAGTTCATAATGTTCGTTTAACTTATATCAGCTATTTTTGTTTTTATTTGAATGGTTGTCACTTTTCATAAAAAAATGTTCTAACTTGACTTTTTAAAAGCTATTGCAATTTAATGGATTTAAATTTGAGGAAGGGATTATGGGTGGAGGAATTATCCGTCTGTTATAAACAAATGTATGAATGCTATTGGGGGAATTTAATTTAGTACGCCTGTAGGAAAACACTGTAATTTAATTGTTTCATGTTACCATGTATCTCTTGTACACGTTGACCTTGACCCAAGGTGCTTCAGCTTGACGTTTACAAGAGGAAGTCTGGATCTGCCCAATGTGTTTGTTTGTTTGACGCGATCCTAAGTAATATTCAAGCTATATGGCGGCGGTCTGTAAATAATCAAGTCTGGACCAGACAATACAGTGATCATCATCATGAACATCGATGTACGCAAATGGGATACGATGACATCTATCAACCATGTCAGCGAGCCTGACCACCTGATTCCGTTAGTCGATTCTTACAAGCATGGGTTGCTGAAGATCAATTCTAACCCGGATCGGCCATGGCCTAACAAGGGGGCGATAACTCTAACATACATTCATGATAAAGCAGCAACGATTTCTCCGTCACTTTCCTTCACAAAGTGTCAGTTCCGAAGTTGTCTCAAGTTTTTCAAATTTTGTACAACCTTCCCATCACTATTAGTTATTCATGTACATCAACATTTGCTCACAGAATGTGATCGGAAACTGAGTTTATATGTTGTTTCCTGTTTCAGAGGAGAGTGTCACATCATTCTACTCTACATGGTGTACCGTCCGGGTCCCGTGGGCTTCAGTACCGGAAATTCCCTTCCGGACGGCTTGTAAACTTTTTTACGTTGTAAAAGTATTTTTTGTCACAAGCATTATACTTTCTCCACGATATTTTGTTATCATTTGTATTCATTTGTCTATTCCAAGACCGGGTATTGTGATGTGAGAATGTTGATATAATCTGCACCAGAAATTCCATAAATCTTTTGTGTAACCATCAACGCAGTCTCGTACGATGATGTCGCCGAGGCGGACCACGCATGTACGACCAGCATGGGTTGTATGCTAAGCCCAAGGAGTCAATAGTAAACAGGAACATCTCCTTAGACCGTTATAAAACTGAAACCAGCACTGCAGTCATCCTACCCCGCCATCTATGACCTAATGCTTACCGTAATAATGAGTACTTGAGATCAATACTGGCCTTAGTGCAACCATTGTGTAGCACATCGCCACATGGACTACTTATAATGACGGACTGAGAGGACTCTTTGACATACACCAATGACATAGAGAAACAAACAGTTCACAGCTCAGTGAATTTCAAATCCTAAACTGCGGTGGAAAATAACTTTTATATTATTGTCAATTAATATTATGATTGCGTCAGTTCAGTACTGCCCAGGAATAAGAACTAGTCGCTTTTATGATAATGCCTTGTCATGTAACGGTTCAGACGTTTTGATGAGTGAGTGAGTTTGGTTTTACGCCGCTTTTAGCAATATTCCAGCAATATCACGACGGGGACACCAGAAATGGGCTTCACACATTGTGCCCACGTAGGGAATCGAACCCGGGTTTTCGGTGAACGCCATAACCTCTAGGCTACCCCACCGCCCCAGTCGTTTTGGAGCAGTGTTGAAGCAATGGGAGCAGGTGCACCACTGGCATAGATCACCAAAGTGTGAAATCGAAACCTGGTCTTATGTGTGACAAGTGAGCACACTAGCTTCTGTCCTGACCTTACTCCCACAGTCAAGTACAATCAAAGACCATTGTTTCCAAGTTGAAGGGATAATTGAAAACCAAATAAATTAAAAAGGAATAGAACGCATTAACTTCGAGTCAACCGTTGGTTCGTCACAATAATGTTCGACACAACGGTGTTTACCAATATTAATGAGTACGGTCAGAAATCATACAAAACGTGGACAAAACCCTTTCCACAATCATAATCTTAGGTCAAAGGTTCATGTGTTTATGAATAAAATAGCCATGATACCATATGTTCCCGAAATGGTGCGTATATGCTGACCGATCAGGGAACCTGTCAAAAATACACGCAAAGGCAAGTCAACTGTAAACCTTTAAAGAACTCACACAACAGTTCATCATCATCAGACAAACAAATATGCGTAAAACCTTACATAAAAATAGACTCCTTTTTATTGCGAGAAATCATGTACACACGATTACGATGTTAAATAAGTGTGTTCATCGTACTGATTTGACGAAACGAGTTCGAAAACGTATTTGAATGTAAGGATCTTTAAATATTAATGATCACATTTTATTACTTAAGATTAGTGGAAAAATAGATTTTAGTAACAGGGCCAACCTGGAGTCAACAATGATGACGTCACAATGATTGACGCCATTAATAATTACGTCAACAATACTTTCTGTAAACGTTAACAATGGTGTTTACAGTAATGCTGTAGATGATTGTAAACATTATATGACATGCACTTAGTATGGAGTTTGATTAACTCGCTTATTTTTAATCTTATAGATATGAGAACCCCCTCACAATACAAAACAACATTCGGTAATGTCATGTGTTCTGTGGGTGGGCGTGGCACCGCGACTCGTGTTTTAAGGGGTCCTGACCCAGGAGGTCAGAATGGTGGGCTGGGACGCAGACATGACGATGCTGTATACGGTGCCGCTGTAAAAGACAAGTCAGATAGAAAGACGTCCCGAGAGACATGGTTCATAAGGAATGGTTAAAATACTTTTGCTTGGGATATTCTAGGATTCGAGAGATTTTGAAAGTTGTACAAACATCAATCTTGCTTCCGAATGTGCCCCTTGACTACATATTTATCATTTTACCTTTCCCGAGGTATTCTGAGTGAAGCAATTGGTGCAGACATTTTGGGGAAACCGCCATTTTTCGTCTTGCAGAGTTACGCCCCTTAGTCAGGAGACCTTTGAGTTTGAATCCGACATTAGTCTTAGTTATGCATTTATGGTCACGGTGACCACACATAAACTATAAACTGCTTGACACTACTGTTGTCTCTCTATAATGCCGCGGTAAAACTGGAATAGTGTGCGAAGCGGCATTAACTCACTCACTCACTCTCTCACATAAACTCCGAAACTACTGACTTGTTGAGCACGGGGTGGAGGGAGATGACGTTGTAGAGGCTGTCGACGTTGATGTTATTCCGATTCAATGCCTTCATTGCGTTCACGGCGGGGTCACTGTCAACAGAATAGGTTGGAATCATATCACTTTGGTGATCTCCAACATGGGGTTATGGAAGTGTTTTATCATTTGTATGTTTCTAATTCTGTAAGTGACGAAGAAATCTTGTTAGCTCTACAATCTGGAACATTGGAAGGTGTATTTGTATCTTCATCATCACAAGTAGTAGTAGTATTGAAAAAACATCAATCAAAATTGTTTTTCTCTCTTGGTTTTTAGTTGTATTTGTGACAAAACGTCTTGTATATCGACGAAAGTGTTGTCTTACCGTCTGTTGTCGCTTGGGGTGGAGCTGTCCAATGGTCGTAGTTTGTCTCTACAAGGAACCATCTGAAACGTACATGCTTCTCTTGCAGTCACATAGAACACTAGCACAAGTTACTCGTATGCCTTGAACAAACAGTAATGTCTATGAGGTGAGGTGAGGTGAAATTGGGTTTAACGTCGTGCTGGAGAATATTTCACTCATATGACGACGTGCATGCGTGTGTATGTGTATGTGCGGCTGCTTGTACTAGTCCAGACTGAAGCTGGTTTTATAGGGCTAGCCCACTGAGATACCATGCGGCAGTGAAGCATGAATACCCCACTCAGACACATTATACTGACTTCGAGCCGACCAGTCCTTGTTGTACCCATTAATGCCGAGCGCCAGACAGGGACCAACAAGTACCATATTTTAACGTCTTTTGGTCTAACCCGCGACCTTCCGCTCTCTGGACGGACGCTCTAACCACTACACCACGCTCTAACCACTACACCACGGTCAGTAATTTCTATATTATGTGTATTCGTTGGCACTGCTGTGTTAGGCGACATTTAGTCCTTCCAAAGTTTAAAATACCAGGTACAATGGCTCAGATGCACGCATGTCTGTATTGTATGTGGACCATATCCTAACCCATGGCTATCGCCGCAATGTATACCCAAGAAGATCTGGGTTAGGATTGGTCTTCAACAAACCATGCTTGTCGTAACAGGATCGGATGGTCAAATACTTTCATCGCATCCCAGACGAGTTGCGCAGGTGAATTCTCATGATGTTGATCACTGGAGTGTCTGGTCCAGACTCGATCATTTACAGACATCGCCATGTAGCTGGAATATTTCTGAGTGCGTCGTTAAACAACAACAATAACAACAACAACAAACTAATTAAACAAAGACCGCAACAGTAATTCATCCCCCCCCATCCCCATTTTTTCACCCGAAATGAATTCCTTCCCTTCCCTCCCTGCCACCCTCACCCCTTTCCTCGATCAGTCACTCACCCGGGCGCTGCTTCGTTCATGTACCACAAATCGTCGGCTCCGATCCTCGACTTGGTGATCACCACACCCTCGCCGCTTTTGGCGCCCCCGACAATGAAGTAGGCGTCGGCCTCGGTGTCGGTGCTGGAAAGGACGTCCACGGCGTCAGCGTATGTCGTTGATGTGGCCAAAACCTTGGTAAGAAAATCACAAAAATTAAATCCCAGCAACGTAGATCGTTGCTCACTGAATCAACCCCTGGTTTGTTAGATCTATGATATGTCATTGATCATTCGTAACTACTCGCCTCTTTCCTTGATCTACAAGAAGACTCGAACCCCTATCGTACGCCATAATTGCCAAGAATCGTGGCAAACCAATCAAATCGCGCGTAGTAAAACGCATTTCGAAGCATGAAAATGGCGGCACCGTTGAAGTTTGAAACTTCGCTAAACTATGCAAAGCACAATTTAAACATAAACTTTGAGCTAAAGGATCAGAAACTTTAAACACTGAAACATATTTACAAAGGGAATGACTGTACTGCTGTTTTGCCCACGGGATGTAGGATATTCTGTGAGCTATGTTTGGAAATTCAGAGTTATCTTTCCTTTGTAATAGTACTAGACGATTTTCATCTACATGCCCGTTTGCGCTTAGACAGGGCCAGTCGTAAACATGGCCACGAGAGGGGTACGAGACGCCATCCGGCTTGCCGGAATGACACGAGTAGTTACGAATGGTCATTGATATGTCTGTCATACTTTTCTCTGCATCATAAAACACCATTCACTCACTCGCGGTATTCCGTCGGTATTGACCTCTCTCAAAACGTGAGTTACCTCCCTTCCCATTTACTCCGGCGCAAAAGACGTACGTGGCTACAATGGCACATATTGATATGTTACTGGGCAACCGAGAGACAGAGTCTGCTGTTTTCGAGCCCTTGAATTATCCCCTTCATGTCAAGTACCATATATTACAGTCTGTTGGTATAATGGGATCGGGGTCGAACCAAGGACGCTCTTTTGGCATACGTTCTATTCGCTTGACCTGGGTTTTAGTCTTCGTGTACTTAAACTATAATAATATTTATACATGTTTATGAAGAAAGGTATATCCTCCATATTAATCACATCGCATAGGTAAATTATTTTTATCGATATGCTATTTTTTTCGAAATTCATGCGTGGAATGTATCTTGCTAAACTTGCCTATTTGTGTAGGCCTAAAACAGATTAGGTTTAAAATTTAAATTTAAATTAACATTTAATATTCAATGCAGAAATTCCATAATGACAGTTCAGGAATAACTGCAGATCGATACACCACAGTGAAGAAGTGGCATTTAACTCTTGGTCTATTGTTCGTCACCTGAATCTGTGATTTCCGTACGGACACGGTGACATATCTCTACCGGTCCTCCATCACAAAGCAACCATAGCGCTACGGTCGTCCCATGTTTCACAGTTTAACGCATGGCGAAGGCAGTGGTACTGCTTGGATCACGAGGAGGAACAAGGCCCTCGAACATGTTATCCATAAGCGACTTTCGTCTTCAGGAAGACATGACACCGTGACGTGAAAATGTACTCACATCTCGGACGAGCAAGCTGATGGGTTTTGCGGACTGGTCCAAGACGGCGACCAGAAAGTTCATCCACCACTGCCCTTGATCTGCAAACACACATTGGACTCTCTGAACTGACTTCCGTAGACATCTTTGTTGCCCCATATATTATCTGTGAATCTAATATTACACAATTCACTGAAAATATATCCTGATGCTGATTTGAAATAGAGCTAGATGTTGTTTTCATAAAAAGGTTATGCAGAATATTACGGTTGTAACGAGTGACTGAGATTAGTTTGACGCCGCTTTTAGCAATATTCCAGCAATATCATGGCGGGGGACACCAGAAATGGGTTTCACACATTGTACCCATGTGGGGAATCGAACCCGGATTTTCGGTCTGACGAGCGAACGCTTTAATCATTAGGCTACCCCACCGCTCCGGTTATAACGAACTCAAAGGCACCAGTATGTATAATTCGTTATAACCGCAGTTCGTTATACGCTTTTCGACTAAAATATACTACAAGTGTCAGGCATCCCAAAAGGTTTTCAGTACTCCTCAGTTCGTTATACGCGTGTTATATATATATATATATCCCCAGAGAAATGTTACATTTTTGTTTTAATCCAGTTCCTACCCCTCTCGTCCACGGTGACGGTGAAGGCATTGGGCCGCTGCCCGGTCAGCAGACCCACGTAGCCGGCGAAGGTGATGCCGGTGTACACCGTCTGAAACACAACATTCTCTCCAACAAACAGTACATAATACCGAGTCATTACACGTGTAACTATGGCAGTTTATCTCACCTCGGCCAGAGTACAAGGGTCGAATTATAGCTCCCTATACGTCGATACTTGGACTCTGGACAGAAAGGGTCACCACCCCTATAACCGACGCACGAACCAACAAATAAGGATTGAATGGTTACGAGGTTTGTCCCTGATCCCACTCCAGAAAACGATCTTAGCGGTAAGGCGATTGTACGTCCTATACTTTAACATACATATACGACAATGGCTACTCTCAGATGCCACCGTGTTTCAACGACAGTTGCTCATGCCGTCAGCCACTGTCCGAACCAAATGTGACCACTCCCTCGTCCACAAGACCTCACTTGAGATCCTGAAACTACCTGGCTTCCTCACCTGACCTCCCCTCTGGAAGTCCACCTTGATGGTGAGTTTCCGAAGGATCTCGCCGTAGTTGTAGTCCAGGTTCCTGGCGTGCCAGATCTGTCCCTTGCTGTCCTGGCAGACGATACTCGTGCAGAATCTGCAGGAGAAAACTGAGCGATGCAGTTACAGAAGTCGTGGATGACGGTCGTTCCACAGAACCTCCCGCGCACGTCAGGTGTCATCACCGGGCTGGACCAATAGGTTGGTACCTGGGTTAGGGGTTACCCTTCATCTTGAGTGGAAATGATGACGAAAGTCGTACAAATGAGAATGGTGTCTTTGTCCTATTAATGGTTTTAATCATGGCGACTTAAGGATTTTGAAGCAATGGGCAGATCCCCACAAAAGTAATGGCCATAACTTGCGCGGCTAATTGTGCCACTTGGCTGTTGACTATACAATGGATCTGTATCTATTTATGTATACTGCAACCACAGGTGAACAGCCAGGACCATCCCTGGCAACAGATCAGCACCTACTCAGGTAACGTGCTTAATTCAGTTCCAGCTCCGGCATAGAATAGGTCTTCAGCAACCGCTGCTGGTGGAGAACAGCGACCAAATTTAGCGGTTGTCAGGGCTTCATGACTTTGTGGATTGCGTGCCATTGTACCCGATCGTTCCTATCTAACTTTGGACTGGCTGATCCCGCCTTAGCTATTTACAGGTTGTCGTCATATTGCTGGAATATTGCTGACTATTTCGATAAACATCAAACGAGCTGATCAGTTATCTTTGACGTGACATGCAGGAGACGGTAGTAGGAGACGTACGCTGTGATGTCGTAGACAAGGTTGGTGAGCACGACGTCCCCGAGACTGGCGTTTACAGCAGTCGCAATGCCTGAAATTATCAACCAAATATTATCAAACCTAACTTGTACAGAAATATAGTTATTGATTTGATATCACATGCATCCCGCTACAAATGCATGCTCGCATTTATAGTCACACTCACGGTGAAAGTCACATGTTAAATGCGGTGACAAGTTGCAGGTTACACTCATGATGTAGAACAAACTCACGGTGAAGGTCATACTTACGTTTGGGTTACACTCTAGGTGAAGGTCACACTTACGCTTAGGTTACACTCAAGGTGAAGGTCACACACTAAGAAGGTCACGCTCCCTTCATAATGTTTATCTCACCTCTCATCTCATCTGCGTACTCCTTGGGGAGATAATTGTCCAGTTCACTGCCGATCTCCTCCACAAGGGGGAGGGCGTCTTTTGGGACGAGGGATCTGTAACAGATGGAGCCAGGGTGGAGATGAATGACACACTGACGTCAAACCAACGCCGGTCGTCCCCCTGGCAGTCGCAGTCAGTTAGACTGAATGACTGAGTTTGGTTTTACGCCGCTTTTAGCAATATTCCAGCAATATCACGGCAGGGGACACCAGAAATGGGCTTCACACATTGTACCCATGTGGGGATTCGAACCCGGGTCTTCGGCCAACGCTTTAGCCACTAGACTATTCCACCGCCCCAGTCAGTTAGATAAGGAAGAATGTCATCCAATTTTGTTATTCCAAATTGCATGACTGAATGAGTGAATAAGGTTTCACAACGCTTTTTCAAATTTTAACAACAGTCCACAGCGTGGGACACACATACCCATGTAGGGTATCGAACCGGGTCTTAGGCGTGAAGAACGATCGCTTTAACCATTAGGCTACCCCGTCGCCCCAACATTGCATGATAACCTTAAATAATCGCTCAAAGACCAAACACTATTGACTGATATCTCGTCAATATGTTCTACAGTATGATAAGGTACGATACGAGAATCTGTAAAGAAACGTCGCATCACCTGAATAAAGAAGTTGTTCATCCATAAACGATGTCTTTATCTGACTATCCAACTTCTAAAATATGCCACTCATAGAAGAATTATTATTTTAACATAATATATTTCCATTATGTACCGGAGTGACTGAGTGAGTGAGTTTGGTTTTACGCCGCCTTTAGCAATTTTCCAGCAATATCACGGTGGGGGACACCAGAAATGGGCTTCACACATTGTACCCATGTGGGGAATCGAACCCGGGTCTTCGGCGTGACGAGCCAGCGCTTTAACCACTTGGCTACCCGACCGCCCCATTATGTACAGGACATATGGATCGATTAACAAGCAATCTACACTTATCTCGTCAGGAAAACATCTCGTCTTCTGTAAGAAACATTCGCACTTACAGTGAGTGTGCGTGCTTGTGTACGTACGTGCGGGTGCGTTTCAGTGTTTCTCTGTGTGAGTGCGTGCGTATGCGTTTCACTGTCTCTGACTGTAATAGGGAGTTCTTTCACTTTGGCAAATCTCCAGAAAATATGAAAACCTGCGCGAGTCAAGATATAGGTATGTCACTTTAATGGCTTTGTCCCTTTAGCCGGACACCGTGACCTGTTCACGGAAGTAGGTCACATAGCGATGTTACATTTCAGTGAGCTACGTACTACGGTTTCAGCACTTGATACATGTATACTGATCACAACTTAGATATTGTCAACCATTCGAAAAAAAAACCCGAAGTGATAAAACCCTGTCGTAAAAACTGAGAGAAATAAATAAAGGAACATTCAAGCGTTCCTTTAATATTTTCCAGTTTTCATTACCAGCTTTGAATAGCGCTGTGGGAGGAAATCTGAGAATAAATACAGGAATACTGGAGTGAGTGAGTGAGTGTAGTTTTACGTCGCTTTAAGCAATATTCCACTAATATCACGGCGGGGGACACCAGAAATGGGCTTCACACATTGTGCCCATGTGGGGAATCGAACTCGGGTTTTCGGCGTGACGAGCGAACGCCTTAACCACTAGGCTACCCCACCGCCCCATGGATACTGCCATGAAGAGGCGTTCCCTTATTTGTTTCCCTATTGACGTGAAATGTATTTTGATCTTGAAAATCCGTTTTGACGATCAAGGTATATAACATATACGTGGCCTAAATTTGTTTTAACGACTACTGATAACACTTACTAATTACTTATTTAAATATCAATACACATTTAACAAACATTTATGGTTTGTATAATGTGATTTTGTATTGCCTCAGACAAAGAAAACGCCGAGCAGCGCCATGCTTCTTTCCCCCAAACCCTAATCTATCAACCCGTGAGGGTCCGGATTAGAATATTGATCTTCAGTAACCCGCTTGTCGTAAGAGGCGACTAACGGGATCGGGTGGTCAGGCTCGCTGACTTGGTTGACACGTGTCATTGGTTCCCAGTTGCGCAGATCGATGCTCATGTTGTTCATCACTGGATTGTCTGGTCAAGACTCGATTATTTACAGACTGCCTCCATATAGCTGGAATATTGGAGTGCGGCGTAAAACTAAACTCACTCACTCACTCACTCCCTAATCTATCAAAACCTTTCGTCCACAGCAACTTGTTACTTACGCAATGACTCTGTGTGATTCTTTTGCCAGTTTGGAAAAGTTGGTGACCACATGTGCCCACCTCTGGTCAGGGGCGAGGTCAAGGTTGACCGTGAACGCTTTAGGGGTACTGTCATGGAGGGGCAGTGGCGTTCCAACACTGACAGCAACTACAGCGGCGGACAGCAACAGCACCAACATCGTGACGGCGAGGGGAGTGTGCGACTACTGAGACGACAGACTGTGGACCAGATTGTCACATGTTCTCCGTATATCTCCGTGAGTTTCTATACCTGACCAACAGCTGATAAACTGCCCTATCACAACGCTGGTTATCAGTGTGTATTTGATTCTCATCCCAGACAGCTACGTTTTGACCAGTATACTAAAGGCTAAATGAGGACGTGCGCCTCTTTTGTTATCGCAGATCGCCGATCAGGGTCCAACTCCAAATAGGACAGTTAATACAGCAGAACGAGGACACTGTCATTAAAGCGTCTCATCCATATTTATTTGATAATAAAATATAAAATATGTTCCACCTACCACTTGTAGCTTGTATATCGATAAGAACTTTCTGACACAATGTACAGAAAATGGGGGCTTACTGTCACTTTACTTCAATTCAATTCAAGTAACATTCAAAGACAAAGGTCAGTTTCCTAAAAGGTCCAGCACTATTTCTTATTCTGGGAACCATCAGTCACCCCATTGTCCAACTCACACTCTCATCCAAGTTGTTCAGAACGGGACTTGTCAGCTCATGATGTACATCACTACTTGAGGCGGCGGTGGTGTAGAGTAGTGGCTAAAGTGTTTGTTCGTCTCGCCTAAGACCCGGGTGCGATTACACATGGGTAGAATGTGTGAAGCCCAGTTCTGGTGTCCCCCGCCGTGATATTGCTGGAATATTGCTGAAAGCGGAACAAAGCCATACTCACTCATTTCAATATACGAAGGTTCGCTATGCTTCTACCAACATGTCAGTCATATTATAGTCCGTTTGTCTCAAAATCGGACCGATGAATTGCAATTCAATTTAACTCGAAAACTAATAAACATATAATACTCAATGAAACACTGATCATAATCAAAACATCAGACCAACTCTGTGATTTTTTGGCAGAATTTATGTCTTAAAAATAAAAAAAGTTGTTAAATGAACTATCATTAAAATTTTGGCAGAGTTCACTATTTGATACAAGGGAGGGTTGCAGAGAGAGGAACAGCCAGGTAAACTACCTACCTTAAACTACCTTATAAGTAAAAAAGGAAGCCCTTTTAGATATATACATACATAATTTACAACAATGAAATTGTCAGCCTGGTTCCCGGGGTCAGCAACGCTTCGACACAGACCCCGGCAATCACTACCGAATGGCGGCCATCACTGTTGGGCGACTCGTCATATACACTAGCCACATAAAGAAACTGTGCATTGTCAAAATATTATCCCAGTTGATAAGTACGATAACAATGTCAAAGGTACATATAAACTTTAATGGAGGGATCATGAGACCATAACAAGTCGGGAGAATTTCAATTGAAAAGTCAATCACAATGACGTCACGAGTCCACAAGCGGGACAGGGGTCAAACGACCATGTCACAAGCTCAATAACGGGTATTTCCACCATCGGCATTGAGAACAGCAGTGCATCGACGACGCATAGAGTCTATCAAACGTGCAAGGAAGGCTTGTGGGATGTCACGCCAGATTCTCTCAAGTTCTGTTGCAAGGTCAAGGACGTTATCTGGCGGATGAGGAAGACGGCGTAGACGTCGATCCATCTCGTCCCAAACATGCTCTATCGGGGAGAGATCCGGTGAATTTGCAGGCCAAGGCAGTAAGTCAACGTTGTGGTGTTGTAAGAAATCCATAGCAACCCTTGCCGTATGAGGGCGGGCATTGTCCTGTTGGAATGTTAACCCAGGGCCATGACGTTGCAGAAAAGGAATTGCCACAGGTCGAAGAATCTGATCCCTGTAGCCCACACCAGTTAAGTTACCCTGAACAATCACCAAAGGAGTTCTTTGGCGTGCTGTTATTCCACCCCAAATCATCACGGAACCACCACCAAAGCGATACCTCTCCAAGACACAGGCCTGTGCATAACGTTCTCCCACGCGTCTATAGGCACGTTGACGTCCATCACAATGGGAAATGTTAAACCTGGACTCTATGTAAAAACAACATTTCTCCACCAAAACAAGGGTCTGCGGACATGATTTCGGCACCACATTCGGCGAGCTTGTCGATGACGTTGTGTCAGGATAGGCCGTATGGCGGAACGTCGTGGTCTGATCCCGTGATGACGTAAACGTTGTCGAACTGTGTTGGGGTGGATACGGCGAAGTCCTGGGATGGTTCGGGCAGTCATCACTGCAGTCTGAAACCTGTGGCGAAGATGGGTCACCCTTATCCATATGTCCTGTCTTGGCGTTGTTACACGTGGACGTCCAGAACGTGGCCGATCGATGACGTCATTTGTGTTCTGGTAGCGTCTCACCAGTGCAGAAATGGTGTATCGGTGGCAGTGGAAATGTGCAGCTACTTGTCGTTGAGACATGCTATGCGTTTCAATAGCCGTTTAATTTTTTTGAACGATCGCAAGGGCAGGGGTTGAGCTTTCCAAAGTGACAGTATTGTGTGGCATTCATTTGCTCTGTTTTCTTTCCCGGAAAGCACGTGCAACAACGTATTGCACGTCTCAAGGACGAACCCACTGACGTCACTGAACGTGGCACGTGCATGCATGTTGGATACATGTCACTAATCTCTGAGTTTAAATCCTTATGTGTCTACACAGGTTTGATAAATTTAGATTTTAAATTTTTGTATGCACAGTTTCTTTATGTGCCTAGTATATTTACCATAGAAAAATCCGAGACCGGGTGGTTAGAATTTTTCATACCATTATCATCGATACTATGGCAAAGTATACGTCACCAGAACAACGGCCATCGTTACTTTCAGTGTACGAACACGTTATTTAAGGAGTTTCGTGACACGAAAGTCTTCATTACATGGGCGAAATGTAAACAATGGCACACACATCGACATCTTCAACACCGACGTTGATATTTCGTGTTAGCTCACTATTGTGACGAAATCGTACACATAACATATGGATCTGCACGACCACATCTATAATTTAGCAAATTTCATGACGTATAATTCGATGATTTGGTCCCATTTTCTTCTGTTGTGTTGGAAATATACTGAACGCCTAGTAATAGAAACTAGAAAATGGTTGTTACCACATTATATAATTAATAAATAAATAGATCTAATACATTTGGAATACCAAATGATAAATTCAACCATGTATTTTAACAATGTATGCTTTAAAAAATGGAATAATAATAAAGAATATATTTATCAGTTTTGTTCCTTGGGCATGTATCATTTCAATAAAACATCTATATCTATTCTTTCATTTTGCATGGGGTTGATCATGGTGATGCAATGGGTATTGATCTTTAAACAGTATAACAATAGCCATGGTATGGCAACATCTGCGGGATGCTACGGAGAAGTTGATTACACATCGGTCCCTTTATGTGTTATTCATTGATATGGAAAATCACCTGACTACATGTATGATATATAGCCCTGCGTTAACCACACATATTCAAATCCAAGTCTAAACAGAATACTTTTTAATATGAGTCGTCCATTAGGTGGCATTAGCGAGGTAGCCTGTGTTCATCCAAATACAGTAGCCTGCACCAATACTTAATAGCCCTTGTAGTGTATACAAGTTGGAGAGAGGCTCTGTCACATTCTCCCCAATACAGTAGCCTGCACAAATACTTAATAGCCCTTGTAGTGTATACAAGTTGGAGAGAGGCTCTGTCACATTCTCCCCAATACAGTAGCCTGCACCTAACAGCCCTTGTAGTGTATACTTAGATAGCCCTTGCCCTTGTAGTGTATACAAGTTGGAGAGGGCTCTGTCACATTCTCCCCAATACAGTAGCCTGCACCAATACTTAACAGCCCTTGTAGTGTATACAAGTTGGAGAGGGGCTCTGTCACATTCTCCCCAATACAGTAGCCTGCACCAATACCTAACAGCCCTTGTAGTGTATACAAGTTGGAGAGGGGCTCTGTCACATTCTCCCCAATACAGTAGCCTGCACCAATACCTAACAGCCCTTGTAGTGTATACAAGTTGGAGAGGGCTCTGTCACATTCTCCCCAATACAGTAGCCTGCACCAATACCTAACAGCCCTTGTAGTGTATACAAGTTGGAGAGAGGGGCTCTGTCACATTCTCCCCCAATACAGTAGCCTGCACCAATACCTAACAGCCCTTGTAGTGTATACAAGTTGGAGAGAGGCTCTGTCACATTCTCCCCAATACAGTAGCCTGCACCAATACCTAACAGCCCTTGTAGTGTATACAAGTTGGAGAGAGGCTCTGTCACATTCTCCCCAATACAGTAGCCTGCACCAATACCTAACAGCCCTTGTAGTGTATACAAGTTGGAGAGAGGCTCTGTCACATTCTCCCCAATACAGTAGCCTGCACCAATACCTAACAGCCCTTGTAGTGTATACAAGTTGGAGAGAGGCTCTGTCATTCTCCCCATTCCTCCCAATTGTACAGTAGCCTGCACTCCCCCAATACAGTAGCCTGCACCAATACAGCCCCTTGTAGTGTATACAAGTTGGAGAGGGCTCTGTCACATTCTCCCCAATACAGTAGCCTGCACCAATACCTAACAGCCCTTGTAGTGTATACAAGTTGGAGAGGGGCTCTGTCACATTCTCCCCAATACAGTAGCCTGCACCAATACTTAATAGCCCTTGTAGTGTATACAAGTTGGAGAGGGGCTCTGTCACATTCTCCCCAATACAGTAGCCTGCACCAATACTTAATAGCTCTTGTAGTGTACACAAGTTGGAGAGGGGCTCTGCCACATTCTCCCCAAACCATAGCATTGTTTGTAGGTTTACACATTTTGAGAAACCATCTTGGCCTTTTATGCTGTACATCCTCAATAATTTTGCAATATGAGGTCCCTTACACTTCTGCACCATAACACACTATAGAAACAATTTTAGCATCAAATATCTGAACTAATCTTGACAGGGCATATTTCCAACTTTCTGTATCTGTACAATGGCATAATAGACTTATTACTCTGTGCACCAAGAGTAGTTAGTGCTTTAGTCCAAATAGGTTTAGGTGTTAACACAATACCCACATATCTATGAAAAGACACAATTTCGAGATACACACATAAAATATTATTTCTTATAAAAAGAATCACAGTAGTGAACTGGTCAACAAATTCAAAGCAAATTTTCCAAAATTCAAAGCAAAACCACCGATTGTGTGTTGAACGATGTATGTAGGCACTACTGTAAAGTATAATAAAGTAAA